GGTGTCACAGCAGCAGTGTTTAGGAGTGTTCAGAGATGCTTCAGGCCAATTACTGCAGCTGGAAGAGCTTGGGAACTTCAACCAACAGATTCTTCTTAGAATCTGTTTGTAATGAGTCCCTTAGGAAACAGGGGGTCTTAGAGGAGAGATGATGGTTCACACTTCCAGCAGTGAAACTGAAGGAATAATGGAAATTTAAGAACAACAAAATAATACCAGATACTTTATGGAGGAGAATGTCTTGGAGAACTTCTAGTTGAATGAAGCATTAATGAAGGATGCAGAACACAAAGCATCCATTAGTGAGGCATAACTTTCAGGTGCCTTGTTACTACTAGGGATTTTTTATACTCAATACTTTTTGTATATACTCAATACAATAGCCGCACATGAAACTAAAGCACAGTTGTACAATATTGCCCCAGTTAATAACTCTGTATATTAATAAGACTGTCAAAATATAAAAGAAGACTGACTTAATCTGGTTGATTTTATCCTGAGAGAATATGTGTGTGTGTGTGTGTGTGTGTGTGTGTGTGTGTGTGTGCGTGTGCGTGTGTGTGTGTGTGTGTGTGTGTGTGTGTGTGTATAACTTGTGCTAGTACTGCAGCTTGAACTCAGTGCCTTCCACTGGCTCAGTTTGCTCATGGCTAGCACTCTGCCACTTGAGCTACATCTCCAGCTCAGCTTTTTACTGGTTAATTGAAGATGGAGTCTCACTGACTATTCTGACCAAGTGGGCTATGAACTAAGTAGCTAGGATTACATATGTGAGCCACTGACACCTGGCTGAGAGAATACATAATATATAAATATACTTAAATGAATATATTATAAAATACATATGCAAATACTTATATATTAAGCATATATGAATATAATATACATTTAACATATGTATTTAATATGTAATATATGTTCAAAAGAATGAAGGATTTAAGTTTCTACACACAAATGACTGGTTCTTATAGAGCCAAAGTTTCTTTTTACAAATTTAATATTCTTCAAGATGAAGCACAGATTAAAAAAGGAAACGTTACATGACAGAATGAAATGGAAACATATTTGTGGAAAAGGCAGTGTAAATTTCAATTTCTGTTCAAGAAACCTGAGTAATGATTGTCCACAGATGCACCTGTATGCCAACTGTACCTTATCTCTGTGAAATAATAAAAGGCAACAGTTAAATTCCAAAGTTTATAAGTCACTTAGATCTCAACAACTTCATCTGATCCAGTGGGGAAAAACACACATGTACTTCATCTGGAGTTACCATTTATAGAAAATTATAGATACAAATGTGTAACACCATTTAAATATATATCATGATAATTGACATTCTAACAAAACTTTTGTCAACATGCATCATTGATTATTATCTACCATGGGGGAAAATGACCCAGATGATGATTCTCGAAACTCAAGCTACAGTATTTGATGTCGAAAATGTCAAATAAAAGTAATTTCAATTTCACAAGTCAAACATACACTTTTGAAATCTTGTAACCTTTCTAGATGATTCCTATTTGCTGCTGGCAAAAAGGAATTAAAAACAGCTTTCCTATACCATCCCAAAAGATTGAGGGGAAAAGGAAGGAATCTAAGATAAAATAGTTAAACATTTACTGTTTGATTAAATGTAGTGAGATAATGATAAAAGTTTCATATACTGTATTTCAGTGGCTCCTCGGGTGAGCGTTGCTGATTTTCTCACACTGTCCCCCTGGAATGTACTGGTTCCTCTTTCCCAGGGGTACAGGGAAGAGGAAATTAGATGCTATAAGAGAAGCAAGTCAGCCTCTTCAACAAATAATGCTGGGCAATCCAGTTACCTATAGGTAGAAGACTGAAACTGGACCTTCTATTTCTCACCCTGTACAAAAACTAACTGCAAACAGATAAAAGATCTCAACGTAAGACTTGTAAATCTGACACTACTATAGGAAATTATAGAAGAAACTTTGGAAGATACAGATATAGCTAATTATTTTCTGAATAAGACTACAATTGTCTAGGAAATAAGAGCAAGAATTGATACATAGGATTGCACCAATGTAGAAAGGTTTCACACAGGAAGAAAAATAGTTTTCAGAATCAAGAGACAAACTAAAGAGAGAAATCCTTGCCCATTATTCAATGAATAAAGAATTAATATAAGAATATATGAAGAGCTCCCAAAAGTCAAAGAAGGAAAAGACAAATAACCCAATTAAGTGTAGACAATTAGATTGAAAAGACAATGCTCAGAAGAAGAAATACAAATGGCTAATAAGTTCTTGAGGAATGTGTAATACTCTTGACCACTAAAAAAAATTAAAATCAAAATTACACTAAGATTCCATCTTACCCTAGTTGGAATGGTTATCCTAAGAAAACAACTAACAACAAAGCTGGTGAGGATGTAGGGGAAAAAGGAATCTTATACATCGCTGATAGGTAAACTATTGGTTATAAACTATTGCAACCACTCAGAAACCAGTATAGTATAGAAATTCCAGAAAAACTTAAGAATAGATCCACCGTATGAACCAACCATACTGTGCCTGGGTATATAATCACAAGGAGCCTAAATCAATGTACAAGAGAGATACCAGACCACCAATGCTTATTGCTTCCATTGTTCACAATGGCCAAATGGTGGAATCAGTCAAGTAGACAACAAATGCATAAAGGCAATATGATATGTACAAATATACACACCATGGAATATTACTCATCCATAAAGAAAAATGAAATGACATCATTGCAGGAAAATAGATGGAACCAGATCTCATCATGTTGAATACAATGAGCCAAGCTCGGAAAGCCGAACATCACATTGTTCATTTCTGGAGTATAGACCCAAAATAAATATGATAGTAATGGTAATGGAACATGAATGCAAAGAGAATGGAGGAAAGGAAAAGGAGGGAATATTAAGGGGTGAACAGGACTGAAAGAATATTTTATATATATATATATAAACAAACTATATATAATATATAATATACAACACACTATATATACATATATATATATGAATGAAACCCCACCAAATACTGTTTGAAAATGAGGAAGAGAGAGAGAGGGAGGTATGAAAATATAACAGAAACTGTGGACACTTTGAAATTATGTTGTATACATGTATGGCCATGACAAAGCCCTCCAATGTAATTAATGTATGTTAATTTAAAAATAAAATTTTAATAGAGAAAGAGTTTTGTAAACTACTTAAGGGCTAGCATAAGTCAACAATAAAAGCCTTATTTAGAATGAGGCAAAAGGATTACAAAGGAAAATGAAGTAATTAGGCAGGAAAACAAACAATATTTCTGCTCACTAGTATTATGTCACATACACAAAATAATACAATTAAGTTGTGTGGATTTATTATTCTTTTAATTAAGTTTCATTGCTGTTATAATGCTGTAATAAAGGTGAGTAAACGTGAGACCAGTGGGAAAATGGGAGGATCCTAAAATAGAAAATGGTTCTTAACTCCCTGTAACATAAAGCCATGAGGCTGCCTTAAACATCCTATACCTTGGCAACCCAAGGAGTTTTTTCTTTGTTGCTGTTGTTTTTAATGTACTATGTGATTTTTTATTGTTTCTTTTGTATGTTCTTTCCCCATGGTATAACCCCTGTTTTCACTGTATTTGATTCCAGTGCCCTGCATCTTGTATATACAATTTTCTAATTGGGGGAGGGGAAGGGAAATAACAAAATGCTGAAACAAGGATACAGGTTGGCCCATAACAGTAAGACATACAAGACATTATGTTGAAAACGAACTTTACAATTTCTAGGGGTGGGGGGAGGAGTTGGGGAAGTGGGGAGGACAGGGATGGCAGGGGAAAAACAAAGGAGGGGGTAACAATATTCAATAGGAAATGGACTCATTACCCGACTCATGTAACTGTAACCCCTCAATACAGAATCTTTATAATAATTTTTTAAAAAAAAATCCTATACCTTCTGCTTGGATGAAAACAATTTTCATCCAAGAGCTAAAATGGTTTTAAAATCAGAAAGGCTTACTGCTATCAATCACGTTGCTTCAAGCAGGTTGGGTATGTTCTGTATCTCTGATTTTTCATGGTTTAGAATTATGTAAAGGCGAAGCACTGGTGTCTCATGCCTATAATCCTAGTTACTCAGGAGGCTATGATCTGAGAATCAAGTTCAGATCCAACCAGGGCAGCAAAAACCTTGAGATAATTCATCTTCAATTAGTCAGCAAAAAGTCAGAACTAGAGATATGTTTCAAATGGTACAGTGTCAGCCATGAGTGGGGAAAAAAAGCTGAGTAAGAACTCAAGGCCTTGAATTCAAGTTCCAGAATGAGCACAAAAAATGACAAAAATCCCCCTAAAACATTGTACAAAGTTATGAGAATTGAATGTGAAATACCTGAGTAATTCACCTAGTAAACGTGTGGGACTTTTCCTTCTTCTCCTAGGCCTTTCCTGTCCAGCCATCAAAACAGGGCAACTATGCTCAGCTCTCCATCCCTTCTTTAGCATTTGTTGCCTTGGGAGGTTCACACACTAATGGATTATATATGACTGTGATGTATTATCTACTTTCACTGAAATCTTTAGTGGCTAATCTACTTTTCTTGCATTTTTGGGCCTTTCCACAGGCCAGGACCCCTTTTCAGTGTCATCTCCCCAGGACCCTACAAGAATGTTGCATAGTTGTTGAGTTAATCCATTGCCTGAGGGTAGGCAGAGAGGATGGGGGAAAATGCTCTTGACGCAAGAATTGTAGCCATCTTCTTAGAATCCTCTCAGCTTGTGTCTGGGAGAAATTCTACCCCTATAACACACACCCTCGCATGTGCATGTGTATGCACGCCCTGCTCCTTCATACACACACACACACACACACACACACACACACACACACACACACCATTTTATTTATCATGGAGCTCCAGTTGATGGGGAACAGCTTAGGACTACAGGGGGTGGAGAGGGACTAGGAAGGGAGTGTTAGCAGCATGCGAGCTCACGTACCTGAATGAGATAGTGGGAACATAAATTGAGAAGCTCCAACAGCTGTAGGTGACTGCCAGCTGCTAACACATCCTGGATCACTCCTGGCTCCAACAAAATCTGTTTTACAATAAAAGAGAAAAGCATCAGCTACATTTTTAAAAAAGCGACTATAGTACAGCTCAGTGTGCGAACATACCATGCTCTGTTTAAATTGCCGCTGCAAGGATTCATCTGAAGTAATACTGCTCGTGAGGGTGGAAGTCAGTTCTTTCTATTCTAATTGGTAAGCTGTGGCCCTTCCTCTCACAGCTCCATTCTCCCTTAGTAAATGAGCCAAGACTTATTTTCTGCATGTCAAACTCTGCACCTAGCCACTTACTTTCTGTATGAGGATATGAACACCTCTAAAGGACAATAAAACTCTTTAAAAATTTAGCTTGGGACATAACCTTTTTTTTTCCAAAAAAAAAAAAAAAACCCTGGCAACACTGCATTTAGAACTCAGAACCTCACAGTTCTCCAGGTACAACCTCAGGCCAGAGTGTCATAACCCTATACACAACACAACAGAATGGGATTTTACTTTTAGTTTTTCAAAATGTGATTCAGAATCTGGCCCTAGAGCAGATCATATAAACAGCAGAGTTACCATGTATTTCAGGGAAAGAGGCTTATGTTTCTCCCTGCCATATGAGATAGAACAAGGTTGAAGAAAGACATGTAAGCAAGCTGACAAAATTCACTTGTATGCACAATGCAAGACATTGAGCAACATTCCAGTCCCTCCACCTCCATTTTCCCAGCCCAAATGTTACCAAAGGATGTCTCAGAGGCATCAGAATCAGCATCACCTTCAAACTAGAGAAAATTGGAAACCCTCGGATACCTCCAAAACATTCAAAGAAACTTTCAAAGTGAAGTAGCTAGCATTTTAACCAGCTACCACGGTGCTGCTGACACACAGGAAGCATGAGCAATGCTGATTCTCATTAATTCACCTGCTCCTCCTCTGACAAAAGGGGTTGGAGGCTTGAACACGAGATCACCCACTGATTGTCCACAGGCTCCCACTACCCTGCCTGCCGCCCTCCATACATCGGACTCAACATACTTAGCTTTCCCCAACACTCCACTTGGGCACTGCATTCCAGCCCCTTCTGCCTCCAGCGGTTCCATCTCATTCCTGCATCGTGAGGCAATAGTTCCCATTGATGGATAAATATGCCATTACGGTTCTTAGCCTGAGGAGGAAAATCCCCTCTCTTGTTTCAACAGCTTTCTTCGGCTCCTCCATATTTCTCTCCCTTTACAAAATTCCTCAGGAAAGCTGTCTGTACACACACACACTGCTCTCTCCCGCTCTCCCCTTCCCTATGTGTATATGTATGTATGTGGTACTAGGAATCAACCCAGAGCCTCAAACGTGGTAGGCAAGCTCTCTATCCCCGAGTCACATTCCTAGCCCAGCTCTGCTTTCTCTAGCACAGATTCTTTTCCGTTTTCTTCCTAGTTCTTCACTGACAACACTTTATCCAGGTTGCCAAGAAAACATCTAATCTTCAAGTCTCTCCAGGAGCAGCTGGCAAAAGGGATGGTATTCTTTCTTAGAATGATGTCTTCTTGTCTCCTACCTCTGAGAAAATATTCTTTCTTGGCTTTCTTGTACTTTTCTAGCCATTCTCCTTCTTCATCTCTGTGCTTCCTAGATGACAAGAGTTCAGGCCTCAAACCTCTCTTCTGTCTCTGCTGACTCCATGGATGGGCTCAAGCAACACATGGCTTTAAGTCATTCTGTACACTGAAGTCCTTCAGATCTCTTCTCTTGCTCCAACTTCACTCCTTGAGCTCCAGACTTTCTCATACTCAACTGCCTCCTCAGCAAGGCTGCCTAGCTGTCCAGAGCGAAGCCCAAGTGGGACACGCTCAAACCACCAAGTGTCAAACCCACTCTTTTTTTTAAATTTAATTTAATTTTATTTGTGAACATACTGTACAGAGGGGTTACAATTACATGGGCAGGATAATGCGTACATTTCTTACCAAGCATTGCAGCCTCCTCCTTTGGTTTACCCTTCACATCCCTTCCCAGCCTCCCCCCTCCCCCCAATCCCAATCCTTCTCCTTCCCCCCCCAATCCCAATCCTTCTCCTTCCCCCCCTTCCCCCCCCCCCGCCCCCGGCACCGACGTTGTAAAGCTCGTTTTGGACATGTCAACTTGTACTTCTCATTGTTGCAACAGGTCCACCTGTATCCTTAAATAACTGATTTTTCCCCATCTCCTCCACAAGTTATAATGACATCAAATATAGTGAAAGCAGGGGTTATACTGTGGGGGAGGGACATACAAAGCAACAAAGAGATAATCTTATAAATGCGTTAGAAACACATGCATGAAAGAAAAAACATTAAAATACATATCTAAGGGTTCATTTTCCTGACATCACATTATCTGACCTTTTCCGCTTGACTCATACATATACTAGATATTGCAAATAAGGGAAACCATGGGACCTATGTTTCTTTGGGCCTGGCTTACTTCACTTAATATAATTTTTTCCAAGTTTTTCCATTTCCTAACAAATGGGGCAATGTCATTCTTTCTGATGGAGGCATAGAATTCCATTGTGTATATATACCACATTTTCTTGATCCATTCATCTACTGAGGGGCATCTGGGTTGGTTCCATATCTTAGCTATGGTAAATAATGCTGCAATAAACATTGTTGTGCTGGTAGCTTTAGTGTGGTCTTGTTTGTAAACATTTGGGTAAATGCCCAAAAGTGGGATTGCTGGGTCATAGGGGAGTTCTATGTGAAGTCTTCTGAGGAACCTCCATACTGCTTTCCAAAGTGGTTGAACAAGTTTACACTCCCACCAACAATGAAGTAAGGTTCCTTTCTGTCCACATCCCCTCCAGCATCTGTTGTTGGTAGAGTTCTTGATTTTTGCCGTTCTAACTGGGGTGAGGTGGTATCTCAATGTTGTTTTGATTTGCATTTCTTTTATGGCTAGGGATGTTGAACATTTCTTCATGTGTCTATTGGCCATCCTTCTTTCTTCTTCAGAGAAGTTTCTCTTTAAGTCTTTCACCCACTTATTTATTGGGCAGGTGTTTCTTTGAGGATTTGTTGTTGGGGGGTCAAACCCACTCTTATTCCAAGCAGACAGTAGGTATGGTCAAGGCTAAAATCAGTTAATAACAACAACAACAATAATATAGTAAGTAGTTGTACCGAGGGGTTCCATATTCATATTCTTGTCAGCTTCTTGGTAAATGTCACCCCTACCATCTTTCTCTTCCAATTACTCCCTCCCCTCTGTTTATATGCTCAAGTTACATAGTTCATTTTTTTACATAGTGTTCATTGAAGATAATGACTGCACAGAGTCACGCTTGGCTCCTCTTGCTTGCCTCACACATCACACCCAAGCCATCGGGCATTCTCGTGGCTCTATCTTCCAAATAGCTGCAGAATCTATGCACTGTCCACTACTTCCACACAGCCTCTCTAGACCAAGGAATACCATGTTCTCAGACTCTTTACCCTGGATTTCTAACGAGTGGCACTGCTTCCCCCTTTGCCTTCTCTCCTGGAACCCTTATAAAAACATTGGCAAGCCAGTCCATCCTCAGCCGGGGTAACGCTTCCTCAGGCCACAGGCATGGCTCCTTCCCTCACACCCTTCAGACTTTTTCTCAGATATTTCCGTGCCTTAGAGGCCCTCCCTGCACTTCCTATGTAAAACAGTGTCCCATTCCCCATTCCCCATTATTCTCCATCTCCTAAATTTGATTTATTCATAATTTGGAACCTGTACCTCTTGCCATATTGCACAAGTATTTATTTTTGATTACTCTACTAGAACAAAAGCTCAGACAGAGCAGGGCCCTGATCTGTTTTTTCACATTGCATGTGGTTTTTGGTTTTAGTATCTTTGAGTATTTTTACAACAGGGTTTCAATTCAACATATCCATTTATAAGTACCATGCATATTTTATATCCCCTGGACTCAGTACCTACCCAGACATATAGGTATCATTCAGTATCAATGTGTTTACTTGAGTAAATGCTTTGATAATTAACTGATCTCTACACATATGCTTAATTCAGAGTTAACTCTATTAGTTAATCTAATACTAGGACAAAGAAAAAAAAAGAACTCTAAATTATATTTCCAGACCACTGAAATGAAAACATGAAAAAATTAAGCACAGCTGGCAAAAATACTGACAACAATCTTATTCTGAAAATCTCTCACAGCTTTTTTCTATCTAGTCAGAAGGAGAAACTTGAATTTCCCCAACTCCTGGAGGAGAAGGTTTTGATTGACATTCTGAAAATGAGTGTAGCTCCCATCAGAGGAGCAAGGATGTCGTGTCGACGTATGGAAGAGGCATGGCCTAAGGCAGGGAATGGGGAATAGATGGATTAGAAAGGTTAGTCTTAGCCTTTAAATCCTGTCAGTTGTGCTCATTCCACACAACTGGCAGGCTCAGTAAGGCCAAACACAAAGGCAGGTATCACAGAGAAACAAGATGACTATTCCATAGTCTGGGAAACATGTCCTACAGGCTCACCGCGAGGAACCTTCACACAAGAGCCCGTAGTGGGATTTTTTTTGTCTTTGTTTCTTATTTTTGTTCTTTAGTTTCTTTCTCCTGCATTAGAACATGTTTTTTTCCCCTAAAAACCACTTTGACACGGAAAATTCCTATACGCTTTTAAAGATTTGGGGAAGAGATTCTACTGGGATAGCTGCTTTTCACTTATGAAACCAGAACCAGCACTTGCAGACCTCAAAGTAGTCTTCTAAATTCATGTCTGTTTTCCCTTGGATATGGATTGTTCCAATATGTTTTGCCAGACACTTTGTGCTTGGGTTGGTAAAAAAGAGAGGTCCAATGTCCCTGTGATTTAAAGTACGTTGAATTATCTATCGCCTGGCCAATCAAACTCTGTAGAAGAAAGGGAACACCAACACACATATTTATATGGGACAACGAGGACAGTTAAACTGAACTGCTGCCTAGCTCATGTTAGTTACATTTAGGTCTTTCAGAAATTTACATCCATCAGCTTATAATCCAGCATTCCAGCCTGGATAGACTGGAGG